GCATAACTCAACTTTGTCAGAAAATGAAGTTTAATTGTTGAATACATTCCTTCTAACTAGGTAGGTGGTGGTTTTATAATTCTATTTAATCTCCAATATAAGAGGTCAAATCCTTGTGGAGATTAAACTAATTCTACTCCAGAAGTATTTTTGACCACACATCTTTACTCAGCATTAACTGAATATACCCTATTCTATAAACTAAAAAAGCTATAGAAGGCTATAATTAAATGTCCATCTTAATAGTTTATTCGGGAAATGTTATTTTCATTGTTGTTATATGGTTGTCAGCTAGCTGCTTCCTTGACCCATAGGGAACTTAAAACAGCATCTTTCCTTGTTGCTATGAGCTTCTTTATAATCTATAGCAGATGCTGTTAGTTTTCCTCATGGCTTCAACAGCTTCAATTTTGAATAATAATAAATGTTTCAAAGAATTTGTCAAAGAATGATAATATATCTTCAAAAATTGTTGCTTTTTTCCTATTTCAGTCCATGGAGATGCAGGTTGATACATTTTTTTTTCTTTTTTCTTTTCTGTAGTATCAGTAGGGCCTTTTGTTTGGGGAAAAATGTAATGAGATTTTTTCTGATATCGGAAAACAAACCCTGAGGTCTGTAGTTTGGTTCCTATAGATGGCCTTATGGAGTGTGGACATAATGGAGTGCTGCTATTATTAACCTAATGTACTATTTATGATAATGTTGTCTTTCTCTGTTGTCATTAACATAACTTCTGATTTAACTGGTTGTTTTTCACCTTGACTTCCTTATTGTGATATTCCTGTACTGATTCATCCTTTTTTTGAAAATTAAAAAAAAATATTCCAACAACAATTTTTTTTAAAAGCGAGGGTGGGGAGAGGAGGCTGTTGTACATTCACCTGTTTCTTGCCAGAACTTTCAAATACATGTATTTGGGTACATCAGTTGTGATGAAATGTCTCTTCTGCAAAAATAAAGAGAAGCATTGTTTTCCTAGCTTCTTTTTTTTTTGCTAATCGATAAACAGCTACCAAGGCTTGTACGTCCTCCTTTACCCACAGAATATTCTACCGATAAAGCTAAAAAAAATATGAATGAGTCATTTATAAAGCTTTTAATTAATGCTCTGAACTATTATAATTTATTGTTGTTGGCATGGTTGTCTTTTCATGACCCCTGAACTGTGTTTTCTAAATTCTCTTCTCAAAGATATTTATTGTTTCAGAAATTGTGTGGTTATAATTTTTTCTTGTGTGATCATTGATATGATATTTCTTTTTTCATAATTCATGCTCACCGTAACAGAAAAGTATGAGCACTTTGATAGAATGGGTAGGTAAAACTGTGCGGCAGTGTGGGTATAATAATTATAATTATTCTTTCATCTCGTTATTCACCTTCATTCTTTCGTGCTTGCACTCAACAGATCTTTGCTTTCTTTTATTAGTCTCCTAGCAAAAAAATATTCACATTGTTATCATAGCTTGTTTCTCGCACATTTTGTAATGACTGTAGATCTTTTGTCTTAAATTAGTAGCCATCGTAAAACACTTTTTTCTTCAGGTTTTCCCTGTTTGTTATTGTTGTTGCTGTTGTTGTTGTTGTGTTGTTTTTTTGATGAGATAATGTTTTTCTTTTTTTTTAAATTGTGCTATTCTGACTTTCTTTCACTCTCAATAGAAACTGCAGGAAGACTTTGTCACAATAAAGACTTGTGCATTAATCTGGCACCGTACCTTTGTGTTAGTTAAGCATCGTAGTATATGGCATTGCTATGAGCATCGTAGTATGTGGGATATCAGTGCATGTGAGCATTTCATATCGAAGGCCGGATGTTCAAATGAACCAAGTCTTAATATAATTAGGCCAACGGTTTTTTTATCTGTGATATCGACATCGGTTGTATGAGTTTGAATTATATTTTGTCGAAATTCAAATTATAAATATTGACCCCCCCCCCCCCC